AAGGATTTGTTCCCTCTTTTGAGCTACTGCATCCATAGGTGTAGGTCAAGTTCATCAAATTGTATCAGATTACTCTTTTTTTCCTCTTCTTTCTTCTTCTGGTTGAGCTCTGATCATCCAGTCATTGAAGCCAGGTCAAGTGTGGGTGTTCTTGTGCATATGCCCTCTCTCCTTATCCACTGGACAATTCACTTTTCACTCTAGTCCTCTGTGGCTATGTCACTGACTCTGGGCCCAAGAGTCCCCAGGTCCCATAAGGTTTGTAATGTCTAATTTCTCCAGATGTAGAGTGCCAGGCCTTTGTTCCAAGGAAGCTGTGAGTGGATTTAAACCTCCAACCTTTTGGTAAGCAGCTGAGCACACTGACCATTTGTATCTTCTGTCTTCCTTTGGGGAGCCATCCCTCCCCCATTCCATGCTGAACCAATGGAGCTGTTCATCACAGTCCAAGACACAAGGATGGACACATGTTTTAGCCTATCACAGTGCCCCATATCTCTAGCAATAGTGATTTGTTAAAAGGTGAGTGGGTGATGTCAGCAAGGCCACCCAGAGGCTTATTTTCTGGGAGAAGACTGAATGAGAATAAGCCTGCAACTGTCAGAAGCTACCTTCCCTGGGGCCCAGAGGAAAATCAATCACAGAAAGAGAAGAGGCACCAAGCCACTGAGGAAAGCAAGGCTGAGAGAGGGAGAGGGAGAGAGGCAGAGAAAGCCCCAAACGCCATCAGCTCCACCCCAGGGCTCCTCTGTATCCTGGGCTAATATGCCCATCTTAATGTGGTGCTGTGGGATAAAGCACTGGACCACAAGGTCAGTCTGAACCACAAGGTCAGCAGTTCAAACTCACCAGCCACATCTTGGAAACCCTATACAGGTTCACTAGGGTTCAGAACTGATTCAATAGCACTGAACAACAGTGTTAGTGTATGGGCATTTCTCTCACTTTAACCTCACTGGATTTGGAATGTCTCCTACAATTTTCACTAGCTGGATGACAGACGTGACAAGCTTGTCAACTATCTGCTGGCACAAGCTTGCTGAAGGAGAACAATGGTTACTGAAGCACAGGACTCGGTGGTTCTCCTCAGTGGCCTGGACAAACGCAACCCCAGATGTTTCAATCCAAAAACCTTTTAAGGTCCACTGAGGAAGGAAAACGAGTCCTGGGTATTATCTAAAAACCTTCCAATCCTATTAACACCTCTTGGTAAGATCCAGAAAGGCCCAATACCAACTAGCCGAACGTGGGTCAGCAGCATGGAAGAAAATCCGACAGCAGGGAAGCCTTCACTAGAAGATGATTCTTGGCCAATCCCTACGGTGGTTCTGAGCCCGAAGCTCCATCAAACACAGACCACAATGCCCCTGAGCCCCTTAGAGTTATCCAGAGCAGCTTGATAATTAGAAATAACCAATTTATTTCCCTTACCTTTCTCACATTTTGTATCCACAAAAGTCATGTTTTTTTCTGTAAGTCTATGTCTAAGTAAGTTTTTTAATGTGCTTTATATAAGTATAAGGAGCTCTGGTAGTGTAGTGGTTATGAATTGGGCTGCTAACCTCAAGATCAGCAGTTTGAAACTACCAGCGGTTCCATGGGAGAAAGATGAGGCTTTCTGCTCCCGTAAAGATTTTCAGCCTCGGAAACCCTGTACAGGGTTGCTATGAGTCGGAACCGACTCGATGGCACATAACAACAACAACAACATAAGTATAGAATACACTATTTGTAAGTATAAAATAACACTTCTAAAGGATAAGAAAACACATCATGACTTCATAAGCAGATTGTTTTCTTTCTAAGTGGTCCAGTAGGGAGAAGAAAAAAAATTATCCATTTCACTACCAAGGCCATCTTCAGTTTGATGAAATAAGGAGAATTCTCTGATTTATACTTGTTAGAAGAGAGAGCTCATCACTTGCAACCAAAAATGTTCCAACTAACATGCACATATATTACCCTTACTTAATCCTTAAAATATCTCTGAAAGATAATTATCAGCATGTCCATTTTACATATTTAAATATGACAAATTTCACAGCCTATATTCCAGAGGAATGAGAAGAGACCCTTGGCAAGTGGCCCAGGCCCAGCTGAAGTGGGTGACAAGAAAATATCTGATTAGTCTGGAGGTGGCTGCAGACTGTTTCTGGCACACAACGAGGGACACGGGACCCAACAGAAGCATGCTCAACATTCTAATCAGGGCTGACCTAGTACACACAGACTGCTTTACTGCACAAGCTTACACACACGATAACCCCATGGGCTCGTGGCTTCCGGAAATCCCACAATTAGAGACATGCTCCTCTGTGAACACATCACACCAGGTGAAGTAAGTCAAGTACAAAAGGACAAACAGTGTATGCGGCTGCTTATTCATCTAAACTACGCAAATCCATAATGACAGCAGATTAGTGGGACCAGATGGCTGGGGGAGGCGGGACGCAGGGAGAGAGTCACTGCGTTCTCTTGTACTGAATTCTGTGGGGGGTGATGGGAGACTTTGGGAATGAGAGTGGAGCTGGTGGTAACTGTTGGAAGTAACTGATATTGCTGATTTGTATACTTAGAAACCATTAAATGGCAACTTTTCATCATATATTTATGTGTGTGTAGGGAGTCCTGGTATGATGCTGTAGGATTAGCACTGGACTGCTAACCACAAGGTCGGCAGTTCAAACTCACTAGCAGATCCTCAGAAACCCTAAACAGGGTCTCAATGAGTCAGAAATGATTGGACAGCAGCACTTAACAACAATATATATGTGTATGTAAGTATTTTAATGTATGTCTGGGGCTTGGATTTTTGAAGACTCTTCAAATGCAAATGCTTTTCAAAGGAAATCAAAAAGGATACTCAGGAATGAAAGGATGCCATCCAGGGCAGAGAAAGAAAGCCAGAGGGACCCAAGACAGACTCTGCAGGTATCATAAGCTTGGTGGACTTGCTGTGGTGGAAGTCACTGAGCTGACATAAAGCCTAGAAGCTACCATCCCTGGAGCCCGGAGAAGGATCATACAGCGGGAGAAGAAACGCCAACCCAGAGAGGAGAGGCATGGTGGAGAGTGCCAATCAGGGAGAAAGGAAAGTAACGGGACACCCTGAGTATGGCTAACATTGTCCTGTGCCCTATCCCACCATAGCACAGCTCCTGCATCCCTTCAGCCCAGCTGGGCAGTAGCCTCACAGAATGACTCCTCTATAGAACTCCACAAGACTGTACAGACCACAGCTGGTGGAGACATGGATTCTGTATTGTTAATAAGCTCCCAGGGGCTGCCTATGCTGGTTTGCAGACCACACTTGAGTTGTGAGAACGTACAGAATAAAACAAGGAGATTGGGCCAGGGAGGTCCTGCCATCCTGGGAGGTAGTGCTCACAAAGACCACAAACATCCTAGGGGAAGGAAAGATACCCAGAGGGAGGCAGGGAAGAGGTAAAGAGCACGATGTGTTCAAAAGTCTGGATCCCCTCCCCAAGAGAGGCTGATGATCCCTCACCATGGATTTCCAGAAGGTTCTTGGTGCCGGCTTTGCGGTGCAGCTCGTCGATGTTCTGGGTGATGACCACAACGCGCCGCCCCTGCCCATGCAGCCGGGCCTCACATTCAGCAATGGCGAGATGCCCAGGGTTTGGGTCCTTGCTCTGCATGACCTCCCGCCGATAGTGGTAGAACTCCCAAACTCGCGATGGGTTTCGGGCAAAGGCCTGAGGAGTAGCCAGGTCCTGAGGTGAGAGATGAATGGGGGTCAGAAAGGTAAACAGAAGCAGTGGAGTGGAAGTGGGGGCTGAATTCTGGGGAACACTGGAGGGTCCCCCTTTCTTCAGGAAGAGTCACGCTGGGAGGATGCAAGCTGGGACACCTCATGGTTGCTTCGGGTCAAGCAGGTGTTAGCAGGCAGGGCAGGACTTGTGTTCAGTCCTAGAGCTAACCTGGGACCTCAGGAGAAGTGCTTTTAATTTCCCAAATTACACCACAGGGGTAATGCAATGTGTTTTGTGTACCCCTCAAGTAAGTGATGCATGTGAACTGATGAGGAAAGACATTTTGGGTTGAACATGGCTTTTCATTGAGCCCCCAAATATATGAAGTGAAATCTTATTTTTACATTATCCTGGGGGACAAATATGAAATGCAAAATGCCCTACTGAGGTATAATGGTCACAGTTAAGAAACTCAGTTTTATTCACTACAACTATATATGAAGGAGCCCTGGTAGTGTAGTGAGTTACACAGTGGGCTGCTAACTGCAAGGTCAGCAGTTCATATCTACCAGCCGTTCCATAGGAGAAAGATGAGGCTTTTTGCTCCCGTAAATATTTATAGCCTCAGAAACCCTATACTTCACCTCCTGGATAGAATGGGAGAAAATGTGGAACTCTAAATTATTAAAAAAAAAAAAAAAGACTGGGTTTACCAGTCAGAAAGAGACTGGAGGAACACAAGACCATGACCCTTGAGCACCCTTCAGGTCTGGAAAGAAACTCACCCTTGTGGCCCAATTTCAGCCAAGCAGTAGACAGGTATATAGGCAGAAAACACCAGTAATGTATGCTTACCAGAGAATGGTCAATCATTCAAGATCAACGGCAACATTTTCCTAAGGACAAAGTTGAGAAGGGGTGGGAAGGGGGGTGGAATGGAAATAGATAGGAAACAAAGGACTTAGTGCAACTAGTGAGATGAAGCAAAATGTATGATTTGTTGAATGTAAAATGGATGATCTTATGTATAATCTTATGTGTAAACCTTTACTCAATTCCCAATAAAAAGTAAAAAAAAAAAAAAAAGGATGAAAATAAAGTAGCAGAGATTCAGTTAATCCTGCAGGAGCAAGATGAAGAGTGACAATTCAAAGAGCTGAGGGTTAAAGTGTGGCTTTGGTAGTGGTGGTGGTGGTAATGTGCTGTGGAGTTGGTTCCGACTCATAGCGACCCTGTACAGGGTTTCTGAGGCTGTAAATCATTATGGAAGCAGAAAGCCTCATCTTTCTCCTGTGGAGCAGCTGATAGCTTCGAACTACTGACCTTGAGGTTAGCAGCCTGACTCATAAGCATTATGTTACCATGTAAAACAAAAACAAAAAAAATGCCTACTGAAATGGAAGGCATGTATTGAAGTAATAATTCACGAATGCTTCATTCAACCAACACAAATCCTGTTAAGCTTCTAGTATGTGTCCAAGACTATTCTGGGAGCTGCAGGTAAAACAGTGGCTATAACAGGCACAAATCTCTGCCTTTTAAAGGGATAGTGGTTGCTTAGGTTGAGAGGGGACTGACTAAGACCACGAGGAAATATTTGGAAGGGATAGAGATGTTCTATGATTGTGGACGCGGTTATATTACTGTATACATTTGTCAAAGCTCACTTAGTTATACACTTAAAATTGGCAAAACATTTATGAGGAGGCTTCAGAACATTTGTGTTAAAATGGAATTAAATGAAAACGGAATCTTTCCATTAACTTTTTGAAGCCCTCTCGTATGTATGTATCTATTTATCTATCTGTACCTCAGAAAAGGAGTCTTGGTGTGGCGCTGTGGGTTAATGCGCCAGACTGCAAAGCCATTTGAACAGCAAGGTCGGTGGTTCAAGTTCACCAGCTGCTCCTCAGAAACCCTACACAGAGTTGCTATGGGTTGGAATTGACTTGAAAGCACGTAACAACAACAACCGCAGTAAAAGTTGAATTAAAAAATATCTGTACCCTTAGAGAATTTGCATTCTAATTGTTGTTGTTGTTGTTGTTAAGTGCCATCGAGTCAGTTCGGACTCACAGCAATGCTGTATCGGGTTTCCAAGGAGTGGCTGGTGGGTTTGAACTGCCAACCTCGTGGTTAGCAGTCTAGTGCTTATCCTACAGCGCCACACCAGGACTCACTCTAAGAATCTTATAGAAATTTTTGAACATCAAGCCCTAAGCCTTCAACACTTTGACTTTAGACTTTAGTTTTAATATGAAAAGATGACAGTTTAAAAATGTGTAATGCTTAATTTCAGGAGTCCTGGTGTATCACTGTTGAATAAAGTACTGAACCGCAAGGTTGGTGGCTCAGACGTAACTAACCGCTCCTCGGAAACCCTATACAGGGTCGCTATGAGCTGGAACTGACTCAATAGCACTTAATAATAACAACAAAGCTTAATTTCAGACCTTTAGGGAAAGGAATTATGCTTGTCAACCCTTTGATGCAATTGCTAAAAGAAGCCTATTATACAGTTTGTACTTGTCTAGAAAGTAAGGAGAGAGCCTGCTTTGCTCAACTTTTCTATTCTAATCCAAGCAGACTAGTTTTGTGTTGATATGACAATGAACAGGACAAAAGGGTCAGAGTTCATTTCAAACCTCTGTTTTCCAGGTTTGGTCATGGATATAGGATCGGGGTCAAACTCTAAGGTTTACATGGAGAACCATGAAATGTCACTAACCTGAGCTTGCCATTTTCTCCAATAACCTCCGGCTCCTCTGAATGTAGGAACCCCACTTTCAGCGCTAACACCAGCACCTGTGAGGATGACTATGTGCTTTGCTTTTGCAAAAACCTTCCGAAAATCTGCCATATCTAAACAGAGAATGAAATATCAATCCAATATACTGTTTGGACATTTATATTCCGTATCAGTTTTCTATATTTTGAAACTTGACCTTGCATAAAATTATACTTTAAGATACCATGCCTATACCATGAGGGTGTTGCCTTGGGTGGCCTATCACGGGAGTGGGCAGTTTTCTTAGAGAAAGCAGCAGCGGTTCTGGGCATACAGAACTGGGTTTGAATCACAGTCCTGACACACACCTGTGTGATCTGACCCAAATCACTTACCTTTCCCATCCTAGGTTTCCTTGCCTGATGGATACACACAATAGCATCTTCCTTATGTGGGATTGTGATGCAGATTTTAAAAGGTTAAGAGCTGTTTACATTCATTTCCTAGGACTGCTGTAACAAGCACACAAACTGGGTGGCTAATAACAGCAGAAAGATATTCTCTCCCAGCTCTGGGGACTGGGAGTCAAAGACGAGGGTATGTGCTGGGCAGCTTCATTCTGAGAGCTCTGAGGGAGAATTTGCTCCCTGCTTCTCTCCTACCTTCCAGTGACGGCTGGAGGCCCTCGGTGCTTCCTGGCTTACAGACGACTCCAATCTCTGCCTCTGAAGACATGACAGTCTTCCCTCTATGTATGTCTTTCTGTCTGTCTCTTCTCCTTTCATATGAGAGCCAGGCAGACTGGATAGGATCTTCCTTATTGTAGTATGACCTCATATTATTTAACTGATAGCAGCTTCAAAGAGTCTATTTCCATTGAGCTCAGCAAAAGTGGAAGGGCTAGGAATTGAAATATGTCCCACAATAGTGCCTTCCTGATATGGGATTGGGATACAGAGTTTAAAAGGTTAAGGGATGATCCATTAGCTTCTTAGGACTGCTGTAACAAGCACACAAACTAGGTGCCTAAAAGGTTTACTGATGAATAGAGCTTGACCCAAATTTAATATGCCACATGACCTCATT